CACACACATAACACACACACAGAGAGAGAGAGAGAGAGAGAGAGAGAGAGAGAGAGAGAGAGAGAGAGAGAGAGAGAGAGAGAGAGAGAGAGAGTTCTGGAAAGAAAGCAGACAACAGAAGTATTTGGCTACATTTCAACAGCATGAAAAAGTTCAAAGCACTAACCATCGCAGTCAAAAATGAAGGTTTCCACACTGTCTATGAGACTGGCAGCATCTTCCAAGAGCGGAGAGTCTGCACCTGCACATTTATCAACACAGACGTACGAGGATGAGAATCTGTCATGTCACACACACACACACACACACACACACACACACACACACACATTCCTTTGACTCGAAATGCGCCACCCTCGCCCCTCGGCGCACTGCCCCCACACCCCCTCTCCACTGAAAAGTGAAAAAGAAAGGTCCATGTTCAACCAAAACTTAGGATTGGGCCTGTGCTCGATAGGGCTCGCTCCAGTACCCACCCACCACATGCAAAAATGCAGAAAATATGGTGGTGTATCTTTCCATGCTCTAGCTGAAGATTCATTCATATTTTTGCACGTTTGGTGTGTAGTGGAGAGAGGCCCTTAGTAAGGGCTGTGCTTGAGTCCTTGACAGGCAGTGGCCGAAACCCCCTCCCCAATACCGAAAAAGAAAAATGAAAAAAGAAAAAACAAACAGAAATCCCTGTTCCCCCACAATATTTTATGAGCTGATCCACTTGGTTTGTTTTTTTAATGAAATGCTTGAGGCCCGGGATCTCACAATTCCATCCGGATCCAGCGGGCCAGCTCAGTTGGTAAGGCACGCAAGTGGCATTCAATAGGTCTTGGGTTCAATCCCCATTGGCATCATGTAACCCCCTGGGCAAGCATGGCGCCCCCCACCTAGAGATAGGCCACTGATCCCCCCGAGCGGCGTTGAGCAGAGACTGCTGATGTTCGTAGGGGGGGGGGGGACCGGAGGGGAGGCACAGCGGCTGGCCCATCGAAGAAGCTCAGTCCTGATGCTACCAGCTGACCCCTGGCCGGTATTGCCCACCTGCTGAGGCAGGTATCGCACCTGCTGGTGGGTGCAGCTCCAGCCCATCGAAGAAGCTCAGTCCTGATGCTACCAGCTGACCCCTGGCCGGTATCGCCCACCTGCTGAAGCAGGTATCGCACCTGCTGGTAGGTGCAGCTCCAACATGTTCCCTGGTTGAGCACGGTTGTGGCTGCTACGGTTCCGCGTAATACTATAATGATTATAAAAGAAGGCTTGGAAGGCCGTCCTGTCCAGATTTGACAGGTAATTGAATTGGTTGGGCTTAAAAGAATCAGCCTCTTACAAAAAAAAAAAAAGAAAAAAAAAAAAAAARAAAACGATTCTACCCGGAAAGACTGAGAGCAATACTCAGCTTAGCTTTTTCGGTGAAACTCCGACGAAACAGTTTGTCACAGCCCCTCGTTTGTTGTCCTCTTCTCCCTCTCTGCCTACGGTTTACCGGGCAGTTCTATTTGACGATATATATAATATATATATATACTCGTTTGTTGTCCTCTTCTCCCTCTCTGCCTACGGTTTACCGGGCAGTTCTATTTGACGATATATATAATATATATATATACTCGTTTGTTGTCCTCTTCTCCCTCTCTGCCTACGGTTTACCGGGCAGTTCTATTTGACGATATATATACAAAAAAGGAGTATATCATATCAGCGCAGGCTGGGGAACGGGTCCAGGGTCCCTCGTATCAATAACCACGGCCCGCAGGGATGAACCAGGCTCTCCGGCCTGTACTGACGGGTACTCAGCTTAGCTTTTATAGCCCTGGCTAAACCACGATCTAGATTCCGGCAGTTCTCTTACCACCACCAGGATAGAGGCCTTGCAGACTAGCTTTCCATGTTAAAAAAAAAAAAAAAAAAAAAAAAAAAAAAAAAAAAAAAAAAAAAAAAAAAAAACAGCTAGATTACCCAGCCAACAAGCGCATGCTCAACAAACCAATTTACCAGACAGAATCCTTGATGCTCTTTCTTTTTTCTTTTTTTCTTTTTTTTTTTTTTTTGCTGTAATCCTTGTTCAATTGACTTTCACTTGCAGGAGGCCGGGGACGTCACAATTCAACCCGGAGTTATCCCGGCAGCATCAGCCGGTTTCGCTTATAGGCATTGTTCCTGATCCTGATCATCCAACAACTCATTCATTCTGTCTTTAAAACTTGACTTGATACGTTCCTAAACTACCCTAATCTTTTTTTCTTTTTTTTTTTTTTTTTTTTTTGATCCTCTTTCCTCCACAGGCCCAATCCTTTCTTTTTCCCCTTTTCCTCTTTTCCCAAATGGTGAGAACTCAAGGTCGGTTTGACATGAAAATTGGGACATCGGAAAATTGGGACATCGGACGGCCTAGCCTAGCTCGGTCCGTACACTCATGAACTGTTGAAATGCAGACAGACCCAAGTTCGAATCCAGGTGCGGTGAGATTAACAAAATAACATTAGTGGAGACCTTGTTTAGGTCCCTGCATTTAAATCTGACAGTACGATCACCATAATCAAAAGGTATTACTTCCAGCAGGTGCTGCTCCCCACCAATAGATGGAGCCTCCCGGGCGGTGCTAGATGTGTCTGCTCTTATCAGCACACCTAGCATCCGATCGGGTTGTTTTAAAATTTAAAAAAAAAAAAAAAAAAAAAAAAAAAAAAAGGTATTACTGCCCAAGCATTTTTTTCTAAATTTAACAGAAATGTAATGAGTGGAGCCATTATAAGGAAGATGAATAAATTAGCACTACTTGGTAGAATAGGCTCTTTTATCAATGCCATTAATTTCAAACCATCTGCTAAAGGTTGTAATAAGTCTCATGAGAAAGTTTTCTCATATACCCCTTCTGAATATCTTGCAGTTTTCTCATCGCCCTTCTGAATAGACTCTTCAGATCTCAGTCCCTACTCTTGGCCGAAGCCAGGTGATGGCCCCGGTGGTATTACCAAATTGTTTTGCAAAATTTGCATGTGTTTTCTAGCATGTGTTCAAATGGGACGCTAGGCCCGGTTCTTTTTTTTTTTTTTTTTTTTTTTTTAACCCCCGCCGGTGATAATGGCGCTGATAAGAGCAGACACCACTGGGCCCGGTTCTAAGCACGTGGTGTTTGAAAAATTGGAGTCGAGATGTATATGGACTGCCCCTATGCTATCCATGCCACTTCAGTGACTTCACCAAAATGCCCTTGCAGCACAAACTGCTACCATTTCTTTGTGTTTTTGCCTTCGTCTTCCATCACCATCTCAGGACTCCTCGAGAGGTAGCTATCCTCGCACGGGACCCCTCTATAGGTTTAGGGGGACCCCTCTATAGGTTTAGCTATCCTCGCAGGGGTCCCCTCTATATGTTTAGGGGACCCCTGCGAGGATAGCTTTCAAAAGGGGGGGGGGGGGGGAGGACTTCTTCAAGCAGCACCTCGAGAGGTAGGCGGTACTGAGAAGGACAATTTGAGCGAACCGTAAAGGTTGGTAGTTTTCAAAAGGGTTAAAAAGGACTCCTTCAAGCAGCACCAGAATGAAAGTGCACCCCCCCTTGAACACTGGTGCTATCCACTTTTCGCCGACCTTGGGGATGATGTCCTGTGCGGCAAAAAACGACCCGGCGCAGGCCGTAGATGAAATTCATCAACGGCCGCAAAGGTCCCAAAAGCTGTGGCGTGAAGGCCCCGGAAGTTAAGTTGTGGCGTGGGATGGGTCTGGACTCTGAAGTCCTTCGAGGCTTCCACAAAAAGAGGGAGGGGTCTCTATGGGAATTCCAAAAGTTTTTAGACCCTGTGCAACCCTGATAAAATTCCCACCTCTTCGCTGGCCTTCTGCATGACACCTGGATCACCATGCCCCTCGCATTAAACAGCAGCCTTTTGCAGTCCCTAAGGGAACAGAGCACCTCCACACCCGGAAGAAGAGACTAATATCGGGACCCTGTGCCTGTCCAAGGACATTCCAGTTCGGCCCATCGGGCCTTTCTTCTCAATGTGCAAAAGGGACGCTGGACCCGTTTTCCAGCAGGTGTGGCTCCCCACCAATAGACTCGAGCAACCGGTTAAAAAAAAAGAAGAAAAAAAAAAGAAGAAAAAAAAAGAAGAAGAAAAAAAAAGAATCTGACCTAGACACCTCTTCGTTAAAAAAAAAAAAAAAAAAAAATCGATATCATCCACACACGTTGGGAGCCAAGTTCGGATATGCTAGGTGAGAGAGGGCCGCGGGAGTGTTGCTGCCAAACACCCAATACACACAAACACAAAAGTGATGCTCCTGTGCTCCTCTCTCTCTCTCTCTCTCTCTCTCTCTCTCTCTCTCTCTCTCTCTCACGCACACACAACACACACACACATACACACACACACACACACACACACACACGCACACACACACACAACACACACGTGCACACACAAGCGCACACACACACAACACACACGTGCACACACAAGCGCACACACACACACACACACATTGGCAGCATTGATTGCCCTGTCACCAGGGGATTAACTGCCAGGGCCCTCTGAGGATTCCATTTGTTTTCCAGCGACCTCATAGCTGTCGTGGCCAAGCTTGTCGGCCGCGCGAACCCCCGCCCCAACACTACACACGGCTTTTGTCACAATGCTGTCAACTAAAGAGCAGTAGATATGCTATCCGAGTAGCACAGCACATTTGCGACCAGATGTGCTATATTGAGAAACAAGCACTAGGGGTCTAATTATATTTTGAGAAAACAGCAAGAACGGGGCTTTCCCGTCGCTACTAGGTAGTAGGAAGTACAAATTGCAGGTGGGGAGAACGAAAGCAACATATAGACAGTCGGTATAGCGGACCTGTATCCTCGTCTAAGGTTACGATCCCAACGTGAGGAAAACAAAAAAAAAAAAAAAAAAAACAGCAAGAACGAAAGCCAAGGGGGAAAATAGAAAGAATTTAGCGGATCCAGAAGAGAAGGCTGCAGCAAGAATTGCTGGGGCGACACCCCAGTGTTGTAGGATGCCCACAAAAACGTGCCCTTTTTTTTTCCTTTTTTTTTTTTGGGGGGGGGGAGTGTAAGGGGTGTTCCCTTCATATATATGGTGCTCTGATCTATTGTGAGGAGCTCTGCACGGGGTTTCCCGTAGGTGAAGCTTCCCAGCCACCAATAAATTGGAGGCGTCACATAGCAAAAGCCGAGTCATGGAGGATCTCATAGTTGGCCTTCCACACTGGGGTTGTGAGCATCCTACAACACTGGCGTGTCGCCCCGCTATTCTTTTTTTTATTTTCTTTCTTTTAATGATCATTTCATTACAATGCCAATTCTGTAAAAAGGAGGCCGGGGACCTCACAATTCAACCCGGAGTATCTCTGGCAGCCTCAGCCAGTTTAGCTTGAACGGCGTACCTCCTAGTACCTTATCAGACTGTTCTTAGCTGATGCCAGGTAATGGCCCTGGTATTCCAAATTTCTTGTATCATTTTATATGGGACGCTGGGCCCAGTTCCCAGCACGTGTTGCTCCCCACGAACAGATTGGAGCTTTTGTCCCAAAAAAAAAAAAAAAAAAAAAAAAGAAGTTTATCCTTTGAATAACCGATAATACCTGTCAATCTCTATCTTACCAATTTACCACTGAACCCTCAGCCCAACTCTCTACTTAAGCCCCCCTATTCTTGCTGCAAGTTCACCGCAGCTCTAATAAGGCTGAGCAAGGCTCTCCCAGGCCAAGCAAAGCCCCAGGCCACGACTATGGCGAGATCTGTTTGTACTCCTTAGTCTCTTCTGAATCCAATCCCTCCACTAAACTAAAAAAATATATATATCCCTAAAACCAAATGTAACCTTATCCTAAAGAAAATCTATAGACTTTACTATGAACACTAATTTCAGCACTAATTTGGACACTGTACAAGGACAAAGCAAAAAGGAAAGGGAGCAAAAAGGGGGACATGATCTATGACCACTTTCACAAACCAATTATATAATTTATATGACAAAAAAAGACCCTTTTTTTTTTCTTTTCTTTTTTTACAAAACAGACCCTGAGAAGCACAGACGGGGTTGTTGCTGTGGCAAGCATTCCGTCGTGAACAGTCCCAAAAACTCAGCCCAACATGCTTTTTAAATGCTGCATTGATTTCCGCGAGTATGGCTATCCCTCCCTTTCCGTTCAACTCAATACTCCCACCCAGTCAGCCAAAACGGTTTGCTTGATGCCAAATTTGATTTCTCCTCGAACCATCGGTGGTGTCAACCTCTCCCCTCTCCCCTCTCCCCTCTCTCCCCTCTCCCCTCTCCCCCCTCTCCTACCGTCTTCCCCCGAATAGAAATCCCGGTAAATTATGGCCGTATCTGGACTGAAAGCTGCGTCCAATACGGCTATAATGACCGGGCGTTCTATTCGGGTGAAGAAGGTAGTCGCTGAGTTCCTCAAGGTTCCAAAGAGTCCACAATATGCCATTGCCTCCTCTCAGTGTCTCTTCTGCATAATATGCATATCGTAGGGAGGGAGGCATTTCTCTTGCTGTCTCTTGCTGCCGTCCCAATGCAGCAGGCTGTGCCTGTGATGGTCTTGTGCTCTAAACGAACAACCAAAGCGAGATCCACATTGGAATGCGTGATATATGCCCAGGAATTCGAATGGAGGATCTGCAACACTGCCGCTATGTCTCTAGGCCATTTTTTGGGATCGGTGGCAACAAACGAATGAATGCGTCCAAGTTCCTGCTAACAATTCAAGATGGACGGACCGTTTTCCCTTTGGCTTTCCTTCTTGCTGTTTTCTCTTCTTCTTCCTTTTATTGCTCTTCTCCTTCTTCTTCTTCTTCTCATTATTATTATTGTTATTATTATTATTATTATTATTGTTGTTGTTGTTGTTGTTGTTGTTGTTGTTGTTGTTTCTCTTATGGAGTCTAGCCTAGCTTGCGATGCTAAAGAAAAGCGCAAAAATGTGATGTGCTACTTGCAGAGCAAGTGTGCTCTTGGTTGACAGCACTGTGACAAAAGCGGTGTGTAGTGTTGGGGTTGGGGTTCGCGCGGTCGACGAGCTTGGCCATGACAGCTGCGAGGTCGCCTGCAAGCGACTCCCCCCCAAACACCCTTTCGGCAAGATGCTAACTACTAAGCAGCAAACAACGCCTACCAACTCAGCATAAGCCATGCATAGCAGAGCGAGGAAACGGCGATTTTGCAAAACCACACGATTCGCTGTATGTGCATGGCTCTTCATCGTCAGTAGCCTCCTTATCGCTTATTGCCAAACCTCGCACAAGCCAGCCATTGACACCACGCTTTAATCTCTCTCTCTCTCTCTCTCTCTCTCTCTCTCTCTCTCTCTCTCTCTCTCTCTCTCTCTCTCACACACACACACACACACACACACACAC